TTCAGTGTCCACCGTTGACGTCTGTCATATAAGATGTGTCCTTTTTGTAGGTGCTCAGGGTAGTGTACTTAGAGACTTACATACAGTGTCCACCGTTGACGTCTGTCATATAAGATACGCCCATTGATTCTCCCTATCAACTCACTATTGTGCACTGCTGTGGGTATAACCTTCCTTTTATATATCCCCGAAACTCTGAACCCTAACGCAAATTTGTGAATACAGCAATGGCTCAATTGTACGAATGTGCTGTGACGTATTGCATTACTGAAGTGTTTTGTTTGGATGCCTTTGTTCACATAAGGCACTCTAAATGAGTAAACCTTAAACCCAAAATCCTAAAACCCCTATAAATGAGTAAACCCTAAAACTCTTATATGAGTAAACCCTGAACCTCGAACCCAAAATCTTTGCCCCAAATATATCTGTGCGCACAGGTGGCTGTGGATGAAGAGGTCTTTAAGAACCTGGATGATCTGGATCTATCGAGTGACGACAGCGACGATGATGAGTAAATAAAGCGACTAAATAATATTGGCCGTTTCCAATTCAGCTCTTTGTGAATTATTTCTCGTGGGGTATATATCAAATTTTCCTTTTGGTGCAGAAACGCTGGCTGTAGTAGTATATGTTGTTTCCTTGTGCAGCACATTTTCGTTTAACGTTTTGAAGCATTCAGTTCGGGAGCGAGCAGTAAATTTTGGAAAATCACAAAATTGCGTTCGGAGAATGTCTAAATATCGGATAAACTGTTCAAAACACGATGAAATCTGACAGTGATTATCTATATGCCCCCAGCTGGCATATATGAAGGTGATAGATAAATTTCGCGAACGCTGCTAATACCACTTCATCTTACCAGTTAATCGTAATAGCGTAGTGGAAATGAATGGTAATCACCTATATTGGTTCTATGTATGCCTATAACTTTCCATATTATAGTTTATTGTGAAATTGGATATACGGTTAAACTTGAGTTGACAATCATATGACTTGGTAACGCCGAGATAAATATACATCAAATAGTAACTCTAATACAACGGCAAATACTCAACGTCAGTATCTATTTAATACACAGAACAATATCTATTGATATTAGCATGTTTGCTTCACGGTGCGAGGAAGTATAGTGTGACCTAGCGTAGTGTTGCAGTAACCAGATATGCGCTCGCGAGGTTCAATACATTTTCACAACCATGCTACTGGTTCGAGATCTTTCATATTATCAACTGGTACGTGAAAATCACTTTAACAATTTGTAAATGAATGCCTTATGTATACCTCACCGTTCATATGACACAAAAATACAATTTGGCATCTCATAGATCATATAACTGTCACAAGTTTCTGAAAAAATGTGCAAAATTCAAGTAAACCTCGAAAACGGACTAAATATACCCAGAAGTACCCAGTAATGAAAAATAGTCCAGTTGTGTCTTGTTGACTCGAGTGTAGTAATGGCGACTCGAGTATACTCGTAAAAACTCGCAAAAGTAGCGAAAGTCGCGAAATTTCGCAAACTATCGCGTACTGCAGCGGAAGAATACGGGAACTATTTGCAGGTTAGGCAAATCCCCACCGTGTAGAGTACCAACCCTACGGCGAGAATTTCGAAATTCTAACTCTATCAGCAGCTATTGGCACTGAAGTTTCGCGATTTGCCTCGAAATCCCGCGAAATCCCAATTTTCACAACCAAATAACTGACGATAGAGTTGAAATTTCGAAATTTCCCACTGACGGTCCAAAGAGCTCCCAAATATAATACTTCACACGGTGGGGATTATATCCTCCGCTGAAGTCGCGATTTTCGCAATTTTTCACGACTTTTCGCGAGTTTCGCAACTTTGCACAACTATTTACACTTGAGTCCACAAGAGTAAACTGGACTTTCATTAACAAGTACTTCTGGATATATTCAGTCGATTTGCGAGATTTTATTGAATATTGCGTACTTTCTACACAGAGTTGTGACAATTTTGATCCCTGCGCTGTCAATTTGTATTTGTACAACACTAAACGATAAGACATACATGCGGCACAGATTATAAAAGTCGTCGTGATTCATTGCTAGTTGGTATCAGGGTGTGGCAGATCTTCCAGTAATCGCACATTTGTGAAAACGTATTAGATTACCTCACCAAACTTACAATTTTGTTTAGTAGAGCGCTTGTATATATACTGCAACAATATGTAAGGCAATACTTGCTCGCAATGTAATACAAATAGGAGTAAAAAAGTATTACTCTTTTTATGAAGAACACACTGACTTCGATCAATATTTGGTTTTGTTACGGAAATACCAGTAAAATTCCGAGACATGTGGTAATATCAATCCTATCAACTTAACTGTGTAAACAAAATCACTATAAATATATTACAACGCATAAGCCTACTAAATTGATCATTTCCATATAAGTTGTTCAAATCCGTTCGCACTACGCTATTGCGATGTAATGGTAACCAGTTTTTGTATGGTATCTGTACAGCTAACTGAGATCGATTAATGATACCTGCCATCTTGAATCATAGATTCTGTCAGAATTTATCGTGTTCGTATGAAGTTTTTGTCTGATGTTTATTGGACATTCTTTGAACTGTGTTCTTTTTTGGAAATTTAAGAAGTTTACGGCTCGCTCCGGCACTGAGTGCTGTCTCGGGTATTAATCTGATTATTTAAATTTCGTATTTATTCGATCATCGTTCAAATGTCGCAATTTGTTGATATTTATATGTTTGTTAACAGCATACCCCCTGTTAATCGTCTTTATAGCTTGCACCGATTGACAATGCATGTCATAGGACAATGCATGTCATAGGATATCGACGCAAAATGTGTAGTTTTGATAGTGTATGTGTCAAACATGTACAATATGTACATTAGATAGTGTACGTGTTAAACATGTACATTAGATAGTGTTTGTGTCTGTATTCTGCCCTTCTACTTTAAGGGTTGGGGTGCGATTTGTGTCACAAATACCTCCGTCATGTTCTTCCTGTTGGCTGAGTAAGCGTTGAAGATTTCTCGAGATGGCGTATTCCTTTGAATAAGGATTCCTCAACGGGCCCATTTCGATTTTCGACACAGCAGTGAACACTCCAATAGCAGCCATGGTCATAGATTAAGGTGCAGTAAAATAGGAGTTCGTGCGTGACTGGCTGGTTGATATACAAATATATATATATATATATATATATATATAGTGCCTTACTACTCACACCACTGTCCTCAGCCGTGCGATTGCAAGCCCACCATCGGTGAACACAATACAATGCGCTGGTGCCAGGATCAGCAGTTTTCCAGCTATGGTACGCTCACACTTATCGACAATATTGTTGCGCATGTGAATCCTCTCTGATCAATGGAATGATGCCCCCTTATTAAACACAAACGAACTTCATGCAGCAAACATCACGAAGCAAGTTAACTGTAGAATACAGAAGACGTTATTCACCTACGCAAAAGAGGGCGAGTTAGTTGTATTAAACGCTATCGACCTTCAATTTGACAGATTGCTATGTATATCAGCCTAATGAATTGAAAACAATAGGTCTGCGATTAAATGTCAAACAGTGTACGTAATAGACGAAACTGTGCATCTGAATTTCTTCTGCAATCTGACCTTTAGAAACTCAAAAAAAACAACTAACTGCTCTTACACAACCACATCATTTCCCAACACATTGGAAAGTATAGTTATCTGCAATCTCTTCAGAGTTGAGCTTGAGAGTCTTAATACTGTGAGTGCTGGTGAGACACTACTTCGCCGCTATCTGCTAACCAGGGGAACTTCATAGATTATGAAAGTTACAGTGAAGACAAGTATATAGTACGCCGCGGGGGACTTCCTAGAATACAAAAGAATGCAGTGAAGGCAAGTATATAGTATACGCGGGAAATTTCATATATTTGCGAAAGGTAACAGTGAAGGCAAGCGTATAGTACATCGCAGGGGACTTTATAGATTATGATAGGTAACAGTGAAGACAAGCATATAGTATACCGCGGGAGACTTCATAGGATTTTAAAATTTACGATGAAGACAAGTTAATATTATACAGCGGGAGACTTCATAGATTGAAAATGGCTACAGTGACGAGAATATATAGTATATAGCGGTGGACTGCATAAATTGAGAAAGGCTACATTGAAGACAATTATACAGTATACCGCAGGGCACTTCATAGATTACGAACGAATATAGTGAAGACAAGTGTATCGAATGTCGCGGGGTACCACATAAATTACGAACGATTATAGTGAAGACAAGTATATCGAATGTCGCAGGGTAGCACATAGATTATGAAAGGTTACAGTGGAGGCAAGTATATAGAAAAGCGCGGGTGACACATATATAGGTTACAGAGAAAACAAGTATATAGTTAATCACGGTTCACGAGAAGGCAAGCATATAATAAACCGCGGTGGTCTTCATAGATTACAAAGGATTATAGTGAAGGCAAGTATATCGTATGTCGCGGGGGACCTGATAGATTACGAAAGGAAACAGTGAAGGCAAGTATATAGTAGAATGCGCGCGACTGCATAGATTACGAAAGGTTGCAGTGAAGACAAGTATATAATAAACCGCATGCGACTCCATAGAGTACGAAAGGCTACAAGGAAGGGAAGTATATAGTATACCGCTGTTGACTTCATAGATTACGATAAGTTATAGAAAAGGCAAATATATGGTACCCGCTGGTGGCTTCACAAGTTACGAAAGTTTACAGGAAATATAAGTATAAGGTAAAGCGCAGGAGATTTAACAGACTATCCGAAGTATATAGTATACCATGGAGGACTTAATAGATCATGAAAGGGTAAAGTGAAGGCAAATATATAGTATACCACAAAGGACTTCATAGATTATGAAATTACATTGAAACAAGTTTATAGTATACCGCGAGGGACTTCATAGGTTGAGAAATGTTACAGGGAAGCCAAGTATATAGAGATCCGCGGATGACACATAAAATACGAAAGGCTACAGGGAAGACAAGCGTATTGTAAACCGCGGGTTGATTCATAAACTACGGAATGTTACAGGGAAGGCAAGTATATGGACAACCGCTAATGACTTCATAAATCACGAAAAGTTATAAGGAAATCATGTATATGATACACCTTGGGTGACAATTTATTACAAAACATTTTGTGTGTAGTATACTGCGAGGGACTTCTTAGATCACGAAATGTTACAGGGAAGGCAAGTATATATTGAACTAAAATACTAAACCACATAGACTACGAACGGTTACTGTGAAGGTAAGCATGTTTTACAACGCGGGAGGCATCATAGATCACGAAAAGTTACTGACGGGGGGGGCAAGTATATAGTAGGCCGCGGGCGACATCATAGATTACGAAGGAGTACAGTGAAGATAAGCATACAAAAGGTTCCAGGGAAGGTAAGTATATAATAAATCGTGGATGCCTTCATATATTACGTAAGGTTACAGTGAAAAAAATTAGGTAGTAAACTGGGGAATTCCCCAGTTTACTACCTACCCCAGTTTTCTACCTATTTTTTTTTCACTGTAACCTTACGTAATATATGAAGGCATCCACGATTTATTATATACTTACCTTCCCTGGAACCTTTTGTAGTATATAAAGTCACCAGAGGTTTATAATATACTTGCTTTTCAAATAATGTTTCGTGATCTATGAAGTTAACCGCGGCTTGCAATAAACTTACCTTCCCTTTACCCTTTTGCAATTTATGAATCAAGCCGGTGTTTACAATACGATTGCTTTCCATGTAACCTTTTGTATTCTATGATGTCACCAGCGGTTTACTATATACTTGTCATTCCTGTAACAATTTGTAATCTATAAATTTCACCATGGTTCACCATATACTTGCTTTACCTGCAACCTTGCGCAATCGATGATGTCACCCGAGGTTTACTATATACTTGCCTTCCCTGTAGCCTTTCATGATCTATGAAGTAGCCTTTCGTGATCTATGAAGTAAGCCGCGGTTTACCATATACTTGCCTTTTCTTTAACCTTTCACAATATATGAAGCCATCCGCGGTATACCATATACTTGCTTTCCTTGTAGCCTTTAGTAATCTATGTTTGTATTCTGTGAAGTCACTTGCGGATTATTGTATGCTTATTTTTCACTGTACTCCTTCGTACTCTATGATCTATATAGACTAAGAAACGTAACAGTGAAGACAAGTATGTCGTATACCACGGGGGACTTCCTAGAATTTGAAAAGGTACCCTGAAGTCAAGTGTACAATATACAGCAGGGGACTTTATAAAATACGAAAGCTTATATTGAAGGCAAACATAAAGCATTGCGGGGGACCTCGTAGATTATGAAAGAATACAGTTAAGAGAAGTATATTTATTCTGCGGGGGACTTCATAGAACACGAAAGGGTATAGTGAAGTCAAGTAAATAATATAACGCGGGGGACATGAATCACGAAAGGTTCCAGTGAAGATAAGCATATAGTATCCCGAGGTAGACTTCGTAATATCATATATTACGAAATGTTATAGTCAAGACAAACATACAGTATGTCGAGGGGGATATTATTGATTACGAAAGGCTACAGTGAAGATAAGTATATTTATACCGCGATGGACTTCATAGATTACGGCAGGTGACAGTGAAGACAATTATATATTATACCACGGGGTAATTCGTAGATTATGAAATATTACAGTGAAGACAAGTATATAGTAAACCGCGAGTGACTCTATAGATTACGAAAGCTCACAGTGTAGTCAAGTATGTAGTCTACCACAGGGGACTTCATAAGTTATGAAAGGTTGCAGTGAAGGTATGTATTATACTGTAGGCAACTTCATACATTACGAAAGGTTACAGTGAAGACAAATATATATTATAGTCAGGCTACTGTGCCGTAGATTATTCGACTGGAGAGTAAATGCAATACATACAGAGTTATGTGAAGTGTTCAGGTGTATTGGAATATACGAGTCTCAGGCTACTTGTGCCGTAGATTATTCGATTGGAGAGTAAGTGCAATACATACAGAGTTATGTGAAGCGTTCAGGTGTATTGGAATATACGAGTCTCAGGCTACTTTGCCGTAGATTATTCAATTGGAGAGTAGGGGCAGCACATACGGAGTTATGTGAAATGTTCAGGTGCATTGGAATATATGAGTTTCAGGCTACTGTGCCGCAGATTATTCGACTGGAGAGTAAGTGCAGCACAAACAGAGTTATGTGAAGTGTTCAAGCGTATTGGAATATAAGAGTCTCAGGCTACTTTGCCTTAGATAGTTCCATTGTAGAGCACGTGCAGTACATACAGTTATGCGAAGTGTGCACGTGATGACTTTGAAAGCCACCCATGTGTGTCACGTGTGGTTTGGTTGCAGAGTAATAGTCTTGTAAGAATGATAGGAATAATCTTGTACCGGTTAACGGTGTTTCAACTCCACGATAATATCTGTCCGGGCTTTCAAGTTGTTTAATTTCCACAGAGCTGATCGGAGCTCATGGGGTTCCTATATCAGCCAACCGGCACATGGGGGTTGCCAGTACACTACCAATCAAAACACTGGTTTGATTGACAACGTTATTGTTCTACGACCGGCCACTGCCTTCTCGTACCTATCACCTTGATATGGTATGAGGTTACTACGCGTAAGTAGCAAAGCGGCAGAAAGCACTTGCCGACACATTTCCTTCTGGACTTCTAGGATAAATCATCATAGAAATAGGTGCTCTTCATTCCTCGGACAGTCAAGTGATGTGGTGGGCTTTAAGCAAACAGCGCCTCCTCGACCTGCTGCATGTCCTGCTCACTCGTCGTAGGGTCTCTCCTGCCATTGCCCCCCTTCGCAGGGAAATGCATCTGACTGCCATTGCGCCCATGAGCTGCGCCCATGACATCCTCTCCACGCACACCCCTTCCGCCCAGACTAGGTGAGGTGGGCGGCAGTGCACCCACACTCTGCAACCCGTCAGCATCCCCGCGCATGGGCCCAGGCGACGGTGCTCTGAGCATCGCGTGCTGATGTGCGTCGTCATCGGCATTACTTTTAGTCGTCATTGCGCTTATATCACCATCGTTGTCTGCAATGTTGTGGGTCCTGAGACCTGTGCGTGACTCTATGCCCGTCATCTCAATGGAATTGGCTCCGAGAAACTCTCCTCCACTGGCTGGCGGCGTTTCTACGTTCATCACATTCTCATCAATTTGCGAATCGTCGAACCGCTTGTGTCCTTTAGTTGCTTTAATCCCTGCAAGTGTGCGATAGTATTTTAATGAACAAATACTTCAATAAGGGTTATGGGGGCGAACGTATTCATAATTTTCGGGGTTCAACTGTATCTAACACCTGGTATTGATAAACCCTGTATAGCAGACTAATACAAGGCGAAACAAACATACATGTCCAACATTGCACAGAGAATTACTAAATTACTCTAAAAATGAACAGGATACATTGCGACCATCGTCTATAAAAAAATATGTATATGCAATTAGCCTACAGAAATATACATTTACCCCCCCCAGACACACAGACACAGACACAGACACAGACACAAATATCACATATATATATATATATATATCTACATATATATATATATATATATAATATATAATATATATATATACATATATATGTACGTATATATATATATATATAATAGTAAATATATATATATATACATATACGTTTACATATATACAAGTAAATATGT